CCTGATCCAGGAGATCTGCAGAGCAGCCACCTGGTACTCGGTGCACACCTTCACGACCCACTACGTGGTCACCCAGCAGGCCAGAGAGGACGCGGCAGTTGGCAGAGTGGTCCTCCGAGCAGTTGTTCCGTGATTCCTACCCTCTTCCAGAGGTAAGCTTGTGATTCACCTAATGTGGAATGGACATGAACAAGCACTCGAAGAAAAAAACAGTTACTTACCTTCTTGTAAATGTTCTTCGAGATGTGGTGTTCACGTCTGTGACAGGTGTCGGTCCTCCGAGCCCCTAGGGGCGATGGAGAGCTATGGTCTCTGTGGCAGGCCTCAGCCACACCTTCCGGGCGTTGGGGAATTAGTGGGGAAGGTGTGCCAGCCGGAGTCAGTAGCGCGCCCCTCAGGCAGGGGAGCGCCGGGGTAGGGGAACGCAGGCCCACCCAACTCCACTGCATTCCAGCCCAGGGCCCTGGCAGTGGCGGGAGGCGAAAGTCCCGCCGCTGGGTCAGCGGGGCCGTCCGCGGCCGCTGACCAAACACACCCACCCCACAGTGTAGTTCGGCCCTTGGGCTACTTCCTACCCGGTGTCTCAGGCGGGTCGCTCCGGTCCCTCCATCTCCTCCGGGTATTCCGCTGCGGGCAGCTCTGGTCCCTCCATCTCGTCCGAGTATTCCGCTGCGGGCAGCTCCGGTCCCTCCATCTCGTCCGAGTATTCCGCTGCGGGCCACTCCCGCTCCCCCTTGGTATCGAACTCACGCTGGCCCGGGCTGCCATCAGCCCCTCCAGGTCCTCTGGGTATTCAGCGGCTGGCAGCCCTGGTTGCCACAGGCCTTCCTCCCGGTCAGGCTCCTCCTTGACCAGGGCTTCGCCTGGGTCAGCAGCAGGATCGCGAGGGAGCAGCCAGCAACCTATGTCTGCCTCCTTCCCTGGTGCTCTCCTCACTGGGCAGAGGGCCCCGCCCTTTGTACTTCCTGTCCCACCCTTCCCCTTCCGGGGATTGGCAGAAACTTGGCCTGGCCCCGCCCACTCAGGCTGCAAGGGTGGCTCTTTCCCCTCTGGTTTGGAGGGGAACCACCCTGGCTCCCTACAAGGTCCATTCCACCACCCACCCTCCTACTCTTCTGTCGAGTCACCGGCAAGAAGGAACTGGAGAGGGTCGGGTGGCAGGGGTATATATGCATGGCTCAGTGGCACCACTCAGGGGGCCCGCCAGCCCAACGGGAGCCACTAGGGGAAAAAGGTTCTGACGCTTGCACACGCAACGCACACACACCTAATGTGGAATGGACGTGAAGACACAGCTCAAAGAACAACAGTTACGAGAAGGTAAGTAACGGTTATTTTGTCTAATCCATTTACTTTAACAAACATAAGTAAAGAGGGAAAATGGGGAAAAAAAAGGTAACCTAGGGGAAAAGGGGTTGTAAAGTTGGAACAGGAGAAACATTTTCAGCTGTGTAATGTAACACTGCATTCCAGACCATCAAAGGTCTGTGAATCTGCGGCTTCTCTGTTCCTTGTACCCTCTCCCTGAGTTAAGTGAATGGGGTAATGGACTTTTCACCCACGCCTCATGGAACGCTTGGGGGAGGGTGATTCTGTGCCAGGCGATGCTGGCTGGCTGTCCATCAAGGTCTGCAGAGGGACTCTACCCTCCTGCTTCTGTTCCTGCAGTTCAATCAGACGCCTCAACGTGTCTGCTTGGTCCCTCATAATCCGAAGCATCTCATCCTGCGCCGCATGCTCTTGCTCATTGGAAGCTTTCCTGCTCTCAATGTCCATGTCTAACTTCTCAGACAGTGAAATCCCCCATGCTTTCAGCTCTGTGTCAGCTGTCCCAGAGGCATTCATTATCTCGGTGAACATGTCCTCCCACTTTCTCTTTCTCCTCCTTCTAATCAGTGAAAGTCTGCTTTCAGGTGTTCATGACACACCGAAGGACACATTTCCAGCTGTCAGTCATGGGAAAAAATAAAGAAGCCATTGTACATGAATAAAACGTTTCCAGCAAAAGGCCATTTTCATAAAAAAAAAAAAAAAAAACCTCTTATTACACAAGGTGTAAGCCATAACATAATCAGAATCCGTAACCGTTCACTATGCTGCTCCAGCCATGGTGAATAGGCCCCGCCAGGTCACGGGTGACCACACTTTTAATGAAGTTTATGGCAGGCTCATGTCGGGAGCAGAGGTAGATAGTGGAACAATGGCCCTTCCCCATTGCACCACGGGGAAACTGGTTACGAATGGGGTAGGAGGGAAAGTTTTCACTCCCAAATTGCGGAATCTCTCATGTGGGGTCCCAGTCCCCTATCAGCCACTTTAAACTACTTGCTGATGCGTGCCAAGCACAGTAAAGGCACATTAGCAGCCATGTGGTTTGGCAATCCGGAATGTGGGGGGTTGGGTGGGTCTACATGCCCTCTCCCCCCCCTCCCCCCATAAGAGCACTTTTAATGAGAACTTCCCCCATTTCCCCTAGGCAACCCTATGTGATATCAGTCTTCTGAGGGTAATAGAGGCGGAAAGGAAAGAGATGTTGCAAGCGTCTGGGTATAGACCCGGTCCTTATGCTGCTATGCTGTGTACCACAATGATGCCAACAGAATTAATTCAGGACTTGCATGGGAAAGTGTCCTACCATGGTGGAAGAAATAAGACTGCCCTGCCCAGAAACCTTCTGCAAACAGAGTACCTCCATGAAAGTTGCCTAGAGATATCCATGGAGGATTCCCGGGCTATCCAAGTCCACATAAACTGTCTTTTCCAGGGACCACCCTCTCCATAGCTGGAGCGGCCTCTTGTAAGCCGAGAACCACAGCATCTCGCTTTTTTCTTCACAGTAAACATGCCAACCACCGAATGTGTGTGCCTGCTAAAGTTTAACCGGACTTTGATTGTAACTGTATACTCACCAGAGGTGCCTTCCCCGGCATCATGGTCAGCCACCATGATGTCCTGCGACCCACAGGGCTCCAGGGTTAAAAATATTTCCTGACTTGGGGAGAATGGATCCACCACTCACCTGTCTCCCATTCTCCTCCTCCTCCTATTCTTCATCCACCATATCGTCTTCATTGTCCCTAGACTCTCACACCTGTGAGGTGCCCACGTTGCTTGTGGGGGTGCTGGTAGGGTCACCCCTGAGAATTGCATGCAGCTCATTGTGGAACCAGCATGCGTGGGGTTCAGCACCAGAACGACTGTTCGCCTCCCTTGCCTTCTGGTACGCTTGGCGAAGTTCTTTTATTTTCACACAGCACTGCTGTGTCCCCCTCGTGTAGCCCTTCTCCCCCATTCCATGAACAATCTTTGCATAGATGTCAGTGTTTCTTCTGCTTGATCGGAACTCTGCCTGCACAGACTTCTCCCCACACAGCGATGAGATCCATCACTTCCTGTGCAGACCACGCTGGAGCGCATTTGGGGTGTGTAGCCTCAATGATCAGCTGTGCTCAAGCTGCCATGCTCCCAGTGTTGATTAAACAAGAAATGGGAAATCAAAAATTCCCAGGGCTTTAGAAGGGGAGGGGCTGTTTCCTGTGTACCTAGCTGCCATGCAGCAGAATTGAAAATGATCTCCAGCGTGGTCACAGATGAGCATTGTGGGACACCATCTGGAGTCCCCTTAAGTTGAATTACACAACGCTGTGTCTGCACTAACTTGCAGTTGACCCATGAAAATCAAATTAAGTGCTACACCTCTCACAGAGGTGGATTACAAAAGTCTACATTACAGGACCTGGTAGTGTAGACACATATGTTAACAGGTCGACTTAAGGCGGCTTCCTTCAAGCTAACTTTTTAGTGTAGACCAGGCCTAAGATTCTCATAGACTGGGCCTGGTTAAGCAAAGGAATAGGCTAAGAAGCTGTAAGGAAGACTCCTGGTAAAAATGTTTTGGGTTCAGAACTGTGCTTTTGTATGAATATTTTTCATTAAATATTATAAAATCACCAAAGGTGACAGAAAGAGAAGAAATACAGAGAACCTCAGTTATAGCTGAATTCATCAGTGCTTTCAGCTCATCCATTATATCTAAAAATGAGGATGGAGAGGAAGTGGAAGTGTGAATGCTTTTTTGTGTGTGTACACAGTGGCTTGGAGTGAGCCAGCCTGTATTGTAGAAATGAGAGGGTCAAAATTGTGCTTAGCAATTATTTCTTTTTATTATTTAAATCCATGTTGCAATCAGTGTATATATTTTTCTTAATAAAATTTAATGATTTAAAGAAACGGAATAGTTTATTTATGGAGGTAAGCCTTCTCGATGTTAGTTGTACGTTGGGCTATAGGAAGTCAAAGAATTTTCATGCTTGAAAACTACTAGAAAATATAAATTGGTTATCTTTTAGAATATTGGTCAAATTTAAGGAAGACGGTTTGCTTTCAGATGGTGATTTTGGTGAAAAAGTCCCCTTAACTTCCTTTTCCTGTATCTACTACTTAAATACTCTCTCTCCACATTTTCAAAGCCACTAACAAGGCATATAAACAGAAGAAAACTTCTTATAATTGAGTTTAGTTTATTAGAACCAGTAGAATTGAAGGTCTGATTTACTCTCAGTTAAGTTATTCAAAGACCTTAAAGTGTTTTAGATCAGTTACTCCCAAAATAGAACTTCTTGGAGTCAATAAAGGGACCCTGAAACACATTTTGAAAATCTGTTGGAAACTACCATGAATTTGAGAAGGAATCTTACTTCAGTTTAGATTTTACATACTATTCGCTTTGTGTGTGCATACTTTTTTGTTGTTCCCCTTCCCCTAAAATATACTGGGCCAGATTCTGTCCTAATTTGCAGCCAGTACAGTCCCATTGACGAAGGACAGTATTTTGCCTGTTGTCTACAAAGAAACATCATTAAATGTACCAGTATACTTCAGTTCATTAGATGTAAGAATATAATGTCTGGTAACCTTAAAAACTAATTTCTGCTTCCTAATGATTTTCACTGCATCTGTGGTTATTAATTATGATTGTATTGCTCTATTTATCTTTAAAGGTCATGAGCTATTATCAGAGTTACAGCAGCGTCGGTTTAATGGTTCAGATGGAGGGGTCTCATGGTCTCCCATGGACGATGAGCTGCTTGCTCAGCCACAGGTCATGAAGCTATTAGATTCACTCCGAGAACAGTATACGCGTTACCAGGAAGTTTGTAGACAACGTAGCAAGCGCACACAGCTAGAGGAGATTCAACAGAAGGTAATGCAGGTAAGCACCAAGATTCTCTTGGTACCATATTTTTTTTTATCATGTAACCTTTTGATTTTGCAGGGTTAACAAAAATCCATCTAAAACAAACCTGGCTTTAATCTGTTTAGTATTGTCTGTAATATGTGCTATTAAAAACATCTGTGGGGCGGTGGGTTTGTTTTGCAATGTCTAGGACTGTTAAAAATCGTTACCTGCCCTCAGTGTATTCCTACGGTGTGTGCCTGTGTGTAATTTAGGAAGCATATGCCATATAATTCTTTACTGCTTAATTCTAAATATCTGAGAAGTCAGTCATAAATAGCTTAAAGTGATATATTTTTAAACTAGATTCAAGCTAAATATTACAGTGTTTCACAGCTTTGTAGTAATGTTGAGTTCTCTGTTAGACCTCTGTCTGGATTGAATACAACAGACAATTCTGTTACATTTTTTGTTTATATTGAAATTGAGTCTTACGCTCTGACTTTTAGGTCTGGGTAAGCTGCAGTTCATGTAAGACTAAGGGTATGTCTACACTACGGAATAAGGTCGAATTTATAGAAGTCGGTTTTTTAGAAATCGGTTTTATATATTTGAGTGTATGTGTCCCCACAGAAAATGCTCTAAGTGCATTAAGTGCATTAACTCGGCGGAGTGCTTCCACAGTACCGAGGCTAGAGTCGACTTCTGGAGCGTTGCACTGTGGGTAGCTATCCCACAGTTCCCGCAGTCTCCGCTGCCCATTGGAATTCTGGGTTGAGATCCCAATGCCTGATGGGGCTAAAACATTGTCGCGGGTGGTTCTGGGTACATATCGTCAGGCCCCCGTTCCTTCCCTCCCTCCGTGAAAGCAAGGGCAGACAATCGTTTCGCGCCTTTTTTCCTGAATTACCTGTGCAGATGCCAGACCACGGCAAGCATGGAGCCCGCTCAGGTAACCATCACTGTATGTCTCCTGGGTGCTGGCAGATGCGGTACTGCATTGCTACACAGTAGCAGCAACCCCTTGCCTTGTGGCAGCAGACGGTACAGTACGACTGGTAGCTGTCATCGTCATGTCCGAGGTGCTCCTGGCCACGTCGGCCACGAGCACCTGGGCAGACATGGGCGCAGGGACTAAATTTGGAGTGACTTGACCAGGTCATTCTCTTCAGTCCTGCAGTCAGTCCTATTGAATCGTCTTATGGTGAGCAGGCAGGCGATATGGATTGCTAGCAGTCCTATTGCACCGTCTTCTGCCGAGCAGCCATGAGATGTGGATGGCATGCAGTCCTTCTGCACCATCTGCTGCCAGCTAAAGATGTAAAAGATAGGTGGAGTGGATCAAAACAAGAAATAGACCAGATTTGTTTTGTACTCATTTGCCTCCTCCCCCATCTAGGGGACTCATTCCTCTATGTCACACTGCAGTCACTCACAGGGAAGGTGCGGGAGGTAAATCTAGCCATGTATCAATCAGAGGCCAGACTAACCTCCTTGTTCCAATAAGAACAATAACTTAGGTGCACCATTTCTTATTGGAACCCTCCGTGAAGTCCTGCCTGAAATACTCCTTGATGTAAAGCCACCCCCTTTGTTGATTTTAGCTCCCTGAAGCCAACCCTGTAAGCCGTGTTGTCAGTCGCCCCTCCCTCCGTCAGAGCAACGGCAGACAATCGTTCCGCGCCTTTTTTCTGTGCGGACGCCATACCAAGGCAAGCATGGAGGCCGCTCAATTCACTTTAGCAATTAGGAGCACATTCAACACCATACGCATTATCCAGCAGTATATGCAGCACCAGAACCTGGCAAAGCGATACCAGGCGAGGAGGCGACGTCAGCGCGGTCACGTGAGTGATCAGGACATGGACACAGATTTCTCTGAAAGCACGGGCCCTGCCAATACATGCATCATGGTGCTAATGGGGCAGGTTCATGCTGTGGAACGCCGATTCTGGGCTCGGGAAACAAGCACAGACTGGTGGGACCGCATAGTGTTGCAGGTCTGGGACGATTCCCAGTGGCTGCGAAACTTTCGCATGCGTAGGGGCACTTTCATGGAACTTTGTGACTTGCTTTCCCCTGCCCTGAAGCGCATGGATACCAAGATGAGAGCAGCCCTCACAGTTGAGAAGCGAGTGGCGATAGCCCTGTGGAAGCTTGCAACGCCAGACAGCTACCGGTCAGTTGGGAATCAATTTGGAGTGGGGAAATCTACTGTTGGGGCTGCTGTGATGCAAGTAGCCCACGCAATCAAAGATCTGCTGATATCAAGGGTAGTGACCCTGGGAAATGTGCAGGTCATAGCGGATGGCTTTGCTGCAATGGGATTCCCTAACTGTGGTGGGCCCATAGACGGAACCCATATCCCTATCTTGGCACCGGAGCACCAAGCCACCGAGTACATAAACCGCAAGGGGTACTTTTCAATAGTGCTGCAAGCTCTGGTGGATCACAAGGGAAGTTTCACCAACATCAACATGGGATGGCCGGGAAAGGTACATGACGCTCACATCTTCAGGAACTCTGGTCTGTTTCAAAAGCTGCAGGAAGGGACTTTATTCCCAGACCAGAAAATAACTGTTGGGGATGTTGAAATGCCTATACGTATCCTTGGAGACCCAGCCTACCCCTTAATGCCATGGCTCATGAAGCCGTACACAGGCAGCCTGGACAGTAGTCAGGAGCTGTTCAACTACAGGCTGAGCAAGTGCAGAATGGTGGTAGAATGTGCATTTGGACGTTTAAAGGCGCGCTGGCGCAGTTTACTGACTCGCTTAGACCTCAGCGAAACCAATATTCCCACGTTTCAGAGTAACAGCCGTGTTAGTCTGTATTCGCAAAAAGAAAAGGAGTACTTGTGGCACCTTAGAGACTAACCAGTTTATTTGAGCATGTTATTACTGTTATTAAACTGTTATTACTGCTTGCTGTGTGCTCCACAATATCTGTGAGAGGAAGGGGGAGACGTTTATGGCGGGGTGGGAGGTTGAGGCAAATCGCCTGGCTGCTGGTTACGCGCAGCCAGACACCAGGGCGGTTAGAAGAGCACAGGAGGGCGCGGTACGCATCAGAGAAGCTTTGAAAACCAGTTTCATGACTGGCCAGGTTACAGTGTGAAAGTTCTGTTTGTTTCTCCTTGATGAAACCCCCCGCCCCTTGGTTCACTCTACTTCCCTGTAAGCTAACCACCCGCCCCTCCTCCCTTCAATCACTGCTTGCAGAGGCAATAAAGTCATTGTTGCTTCACATTCATGCATTCTTTATTCATTCATCACACAAATAGGGGGATGACTACCAAGGTAGCCCAGGAGGGATGGTGGAGGAGGGAAGGAAAATGCCACACAGCACTTTAAAAGTTTACAACTTTAAAATTTATGGAATGCCAGCCTTCTTTTTTTTGGGCAATCCTCTGTGGCGGAGTGGCTGGTTGGCCCGTGGCCCCCCCACCGCATTCTTGGATGTCTGGGTGTGGAGGCTATGGAACTTGGGGAGGAGGGCAGTTGGTTACACAGGGCCTGTGGTGGCAGTCTGTGCTCCAGCTGCCTTTGCTGCAGCTCAACCATACACTGGAGCATACTGGTTTGGTCCTCCAGCAGCCTCCGCATTGAATCCTGCCTCCTCTCATCACGCTGCCGCCACATTTGAGCTTCAGCCCTGTCTTTAGCCCGCCACCTCTCCTCCCGGTCATTTTGTGCTTTCCTGCACTCTGACATTATTTGCCTCCACGCATTCGTCTGTGCTCTGTCAGTGCGGGAGGACAGCATGAGCTCGGAGAACATCTCGAGTGCGTTTTTTTTTTCTTTCTAATCTTCACTAGCCTCTGGGAAGGAGAAGATCCTGTGGTCATTGAAACACATGCAGCTGGTGGAGAAAAAAAAAGGGACAGCGGTATTTAAAAAGACACATTTTATAAAACAGTGGCTACACTCTTTCAGGGTAAACCTTGCTGTTAACATTACATACATAGCACATGTGCTTTCGTTACAAGGTCGCATTTTGCCTCTCCCACCGCGTGGCTACCCCCTCAACCCTCCCCGTGGCTAACAGCGGGGAACATTTCTGTTTAGCCACAGGCAAACAGCCCAGCAGGAACGGGCTCCTCTGAGTGTCCCCTGAAGAAAAGCTCTCTATTTCAACCAGGTGACCATGAATTATATCTCACTCTCCTGAGGATAACACAGAGAGATAAAGAACGGATGTTGTTTGAACGCCAGCAAACATACACTGCAATGCTTTGTTCTACAATGATTCCCGAGTACGCGTTACTGGCCTGGAGTGGTAAAGTGTCCTACCATGAAGGACACAATAAGGCTGCCCTCCCCAGAAACCTTTTGCAAAGGCTTTGGGAGTACATCCAGGAGAGCCGCGAATGCCAGGGCAAAGTAATCCTTTCACATGCTTGCTTTTAAACCATGTATAGTATTTTAAAAGGTACACTCACCGGAGGTCCCTTCTCCACCTGCTGGGTCCAGGAAGCAGCCTTGGGTGGGTTCAGGGGGTACTGGCTCCAGGTCCAGGGTGAGAAACAGTTCCTGGCTGTCGGGAAAAGCGGTTTCTCCGCTTGCTTGCTGTGAGCTATCTACAATCTCATCATCATCATCTTCTTCATCCCCAAAACCTGCTTCTGTGTTGCCTCCATCTCCATTGAAGCAGTCAAATAACATGGCTGGGGTAGTGGTGGCTGAACCCCCTAAAATGGCATGCAGCTCATCATAGAAGTGGCATGTTTGGGGCTCTGACCCGGAGCGGCCGTTCGCCTCTCTGGTTTTCTGGTAGGCTTGCCTCAGCTCCTTCAGTTTCACGCGGCACTGCTTCGGGTCCCTGTTATGGCTTCTGTCCTTCATGCCCTGGGAGATCTTGAAAAAGGTTTTGGCATTTCGAAAACTGGAACGGAGTTCTGATAGCACGGATTCCTCTCCCCAAACAGCGATCAGATCCCGTACCTCCCGTTCGGTCCATGCTGGAGCTCTTTTGCGATTCTGGGACTCCATCATGGTCACCTCTGCTGATGAGCTCTGCATGGTCACCTGCAGCTTGCCATGCTGGCCAAACAGGAAATGAGATTCAAAAGTTCGCGGTTCTTTTCCTGTCTACCTGGCCAGTGCATCTGAGTTGAGAATGCTGTCCAGAGCGGTCACAATGGAGCACTCTGGGATAGTTCCCGGAGGCCAATACCGTCGAATTGTGTCCACAGTACCCCAAATTCGAGCCGGCAAGGCCGATTTAAGTGCTAATCCACTTGTCAGGGGTGGAGTAAGGAAATTGATTTTAAGAGCCCTTTAAGTCTAAATAAAGGGCTTCATCGTGTGGATGGGTGCAGGTTTACATCGATTTAACGCTGCTAAATTCGACCTAAAGTCCTAGTGTAGACCAGGGCTAAGGGAGTTGGAGAGAAAGTTGCTTTACTCAGGCTTTTGTGCTTCATTTGATTCAGAGGCTTCTAGGTGCTGATTTTGCCTGATGATCGAATTTGACTTCCTGTAATGGTTTTCAAAGGGTCTTTTTGACAGGTAGAGGTCACTAGAATGCAGTAATTTCCAGACAAGCTTTCTCTTCCAAGCCCCCTATGCTGGGGATTCTCCTACACCTAATGAATCCTCATTCATTTAGTCACTTATGCCAGCTTTAAGCCTTCCTTGCACTGCCACAGGGCTAAGCACCTAGATCATTATCAAATAAGCATTCAAGAAAAAAATATTATGATGGTAGTTTTGCTTTTATCTTAAAGTTCTTCTTTGAGTGCTAGTCCCTTTATGTATTTGACATGTGAATGTGCATGCGAACCATCCACCTGAGACTGTAGATTTCTAGCAAGTAGTGTCTGTTCATCCGTGCCTGTGCAGTTGCTTTCCTCATGCTACAAACCAAGGGCATAAGGTGTATTGTAAACCGATGCCTCTCCAGTTTCTTCTTACTGCCGCATGGCTGGAGTTGGAATCCTCTGTGTCCACAGATTTCTCTGTGCTTCTTGCTTCTTAATGAACACACACACACTATTTAGTATAGTTAGAGTTTTTAGTCTTAGTACAGTTAGTATAACCTAGTTTCCCACTGGTGGCCAAAATATCCCTTCAAGCTGAAGTCGATGCAGCTGACACTGCATCCAGAAGGAGAGCCACAGATACAGTCATGAGGCATGAGTTTTCACTGCATTCCACAGGGTTCCCCAGGGAGGTTCAAAATATAATAGACAAGTTTTGATAAGTTTATTTATCAAGCAGACTGACGAGTCTCTGCGCTCATTGAAAAACTTTGGAATGACTCTCTGCTCCCTTGGCATTGATACCCTGGCTCCAAAGACACACCACCATAAACAGATGTACAAGCCATGACCACCTCCCTAGCTGTTCTACCACCAGAGCTCATTTCAACCACTGTGCAAACACCAGAGCATACAAACCTAGATATACAGCTATCTCTGTGACAACCACAACTACTCAACCCCATCCACCATCCAGAGGTTATTTTTGATGGGATGTTCAAGAGCTGCCTATATCTGCTGATGCCATCCACCACTGACCACATGTTCTGTGTCTCACCTTTCTATGAAGGTCACTTTTTTAGTTGCCGTCATCTCATCTGGAAGGATGAATGGACTGGGAGCACTCATGGCTGACCCTCAGTACGCTGTTTTTCATAAGGAAAACATTTCCCTTTGCCTTCACTGGAAATTCATTTCTAAAGTCATTTCTTAATTTCACATAAGTCAATCTAAATTTTCTTCCCAAAACCTCATGCTTCTGATGAAGAAAGGAGACATTTTACCACTGAAAATGTAAATCCAACAAGAAACTATTTTCATTTGTGTAGTCACTGAAATCTTCAAAAGAAAAGAAAAACCCAAACTCTTCTTATTGATATTTTCAGTTGAAAACGAAAAACCAACAAGATGTAGTGTATAAGATAACACTACTGCATAGCTCACAAATGACATAAGCAGGGCATGGGACTTTTTTCCTGTAGTTGGATAATATTCAAATTGGCTGAGCAGGAATTGCTGATTGAAATAAAGTTTATAACCTAGCTTGGCAAACTGCCTTCATTAATGCATTTAAATAGACTTGTTTACTGGGGCATCAACCTCAATTTGCATCATTTTGATTAGAAATAATCATCCATTTGCTCTGTCTACGTTACTGACGCTGCATAATAAGTGAACAGAATCTTAGCACACGATGAAGCTATGTGTTCTGCTATTTTGTTTGACCAGTTTTAAAATGATTGTCGAAGGCATCAAGTACTATACAAAACTGCAATAAGATGTTGCCTAAATTTAAAAGATAACGCCACCTCCCTAGATTCACAGCCAGAAATATACACGCTGTATGTAAGGGCAACAGCCACAGTGGGTAAGCTGCCCACCAACAGGAGGAGTCAACGCTCCATTGGTACAAAGAATGGGGGTGAGGAATAAAAATGGGAAGCAGATGATGGGGGCAGCCTAATTAAAGAAAAGAAAAAAGACAAGGGGAGAGTGTGACATTCCTCAGGGTACAATCTGGACTGATGGACAGCTGTGTCCCCTCAATTCTCCAACCTGGAGTGTCTTTTACACTGCTTCACTGTGAGAGCAACCACTCCTGGTCTGCTCACACAGCCTCCAGCATGTAAATCACTCCCAGCTATATTGTATGAGTGTTGTAGCCAGCCACCCATGAATTACACTGCAGAGCAACACCAGCAAATTCCCAGTCCCAGACTATCTCCCAGAAATGTGCATCTTGCACTGCCCAGCAGCCTCCTGGACCGTACAAGCTCATATAAAGTCCGTCATTTCATTAATAGAAAATGATATGCACAAATCTTGTTATTCTAAATGAAGTTTCCCAAACATTTCAATCCAAACACACTGGTTTAGATTAAACAATAAAACAAGTTTATTAACTACAAAAAGATAGGTTTTAAGTGATTACAAGTAATGAGGCATAAAAGAGTTGGTTACAAGAAAATAAAAGATAAAACACAATTAATATCCAACTTAAGCTAAGTGATTTCAAAACAAAAATCTCACCACATGTTTAGCAGTCTTACTGGCTGAAATACAGAAGAGAAGAATGAGGGGAGATTTGATAACTGCTTTCAACTACCTGAAAGGTGGTTCCAAAGAGGATGGATCTAGACTATTCTCAGTGGTAGCGGATGACAGGGCAAGGAGTAATGGTCTCCCAAGTTGCAGTGGGGGAGATTGAGGTTGGATATTAGGAAAAACTTTTTCACTAGGAGGGTGGTGAAACACTGGAATGCGTTACCTAGGGAGGTGGTGGAATCTCCTTCCTTAGAGGTTTTTAAGGTCAGGCTTGACAAAGCCCTAGCTGGGATGATTTAATTGGGGATCGGTCCTGCTTTGAGCAGGGGGTTGGACTAGATGACCTCCTGAGGTCCCTTCCAACCCTGATATTCTATGATTCTATGATTCTAAATCCTTTCAGCCAGGATCTCTCCCGAGTCCAGTTATGCTTCCTTTGTCCTTCAAGTATTGTCAATACTGTGAATAGAAATGAAGGGAGAGATATCTTGGGGCATCTGTCCCCCTTCCTTATAGCTCTCTTTTTCTATGAAAATCAGCTCCAGCTGAAGTTCAGGAGGCAGAAGGTCTTGGGGGTCGGGAACCTCCAGCTGTTTCTTTGCCAAAATATAAATTTCTTGCTCTCATCCTTTTTCCTGCTAATGAATGGTCACTTAATCAGGTGATGGTTCATTTGATATTGTTGACCTGGATAAGGCATCAAGTTGAATTTTGTCTTTGAGGAATTGGTTTGTGCCTGCTTTTCTAAGGTTGCAACATGTCTCGGTAATGTTAGAGTCGAATCTTATAACTTTACATACAGGGTGGCCATGCATATTGTACCAGGAGAATAATGATCAGCAAATTATGAGTTTTCAAATGATCCCTCACAAGGCATACTTTGTACAAAATCCATTATAGTACTGTAAAAAAGGGGTGAACGTAGGGATGCAGACTGTCGCAGAGAAGAGCCCCCAAAAAACTGAATTAACTGTCCCAAATAAATGGACATTGCAAGCTGCCACAATGAGATACCTGCCTCCTATGCAGTCCTGACTGCACCTAGGGCAAGGCTTCAGTTGGTGATTCCCCTCTTGGATGACCCTAGTATTGCTGATTCATTCCACCTGTTTTCTCGCTTTCTCTCTCCTTCCTTTTTTATTTTTTTGGCAATATTGGTTGCCATTTCTGATTGTGTTTACTCCCAAGTCTCCATTTTCTGCTTTCCTCCCCTTCTCTTCTTCAGGTGGCATGTGACCAGGAATCATCACAGAATTTGGTCCACGGGTCGGCTCATTAGCTTCCCTGGCTTGGGTCACTTTACAGGATGAAGCATTTAAATTTAAAGCATTTTGTGTATTTCTAATATTTTTGTACTGAAAATGTGCTTTTCACCTGTTTGTCCATTAACATAATTGTTCAACAAAGCAGGGAGAAAACACTTCTCTCTCTTGAGCATACAGATGTGTCCAACATTTCAGCAATGCTGACACGTGCATGGCAATTCATTGATCTAGGCTCATTTAATTTGTCAAAAAACGAAATAATTTTTTCTTATCGAGAAAAATCCACTTTATTGACACAGATGTAAAATGACAAATATGAGTGTGCCAAATCTTTTGTGAGCTATCAGCGTCTAGCATGATCTGAGAGCCTAAGGTTAATGAAAAGTACATTCTACCAAAGACACATGAAATAGTCGCTTCCAAAGTTACTCAAAGTATCCAACTTTTTACTGAATTTGTGGTTATATTAATTTGAAATGAAAAGTACAAAGACTTTTTAATAGCATGAGTAGAATTATTTTACAAGCTGTTGAGAATATTTGATTTATTTGTTGTCATCTAAACTATTATTTTATTAACAGGTAGTGAATTGGCTTGAAGGACCTGGATCAGAACAACTACGAACCCAGTGGGGGATAGGTGATTCAATTAGAGCCTCACAAGCTTTGCAACAGAAACATGAAGAGATTGAGAGTCAACACAGTGTGAGATATTCTCCCCTTCCCCAAATTACAACATGATTATGAGTAAACATAGTTAATTGTGAACAATGTATTCCAGTGACAGATTCTTAGGAATTTTGAGCAGGCCGTGATTTATCCGGTATAAAGAGGAGTATCTGCACTGTTTTAATTACCCCCTATGTCCATTAGATACAGATTTTTATGGTTTCCAGTGTAGATAATAAAATCTAACTATATGCTTTTTGTCTGTGTGTAATTCATGTTGATGTTTTAAAAGACACCATGATAATTTGTACTTTCAGTAAAAGTGAAATAAAAACAGGGAGAGTAAGCCTGAAAAAAAAAAATTTTGAAAATGTTTGTTATCTGTGCTGCTCTGGTAAATGAGATGTTTAAATTTGGAGCTTATTTGGCTAGAACCTACCACTGTCAGTTATCACTGAATGTAGATTTCAGTTAACAAGATTTGAAATATAATTTAGTTTAAAATAAAATTTGACAGCTTATTTCTAACTTTGATGACCAAATACTACTTTTTACTGTAAATCTGTTTACGGATACCTTTTGCAGACCTTTAAAGTGCAATAGAAATATCTCTATACTAACTGATTTGTTACTGAGATTTGATTACTCAGCATTCAGCAAGGGGAGGCTGCCTACTGTTTTGTCGTTTCTCTGCTGAACTAAGTCACTCCCTGAACTCCCTAAGTCGCCTACTCTGAAGAGTGTAAATGGCATTTTCGTACCCAAAGGCATTCTCGGATCCTTATGTGTATAGAGCAGGGGTCGGGAACCTTCGGCACGCAGTCCATCAGGATAGTCCGCTGGCGGGCCATGAAACATCTTGTTTACGTTGACTGTCCGCAGGCATGGCCACCCCATAGCTCCCAGTGGCCGCGGTTCACTGTTCCCGGCCAATGGGAGCTGTGGGCAGTGACACGGCCCGCAGCTCCCATTGGCCGGGAACGGCGAACCGCAGCCACTGGGAGCTGCGGGGGGCGGGGGCTGTGCCTGCGGACAGTCAATGTAAACAAAATGTTTCATGGCCCGCCAGCGGACTATCCTGATGGACTGCGTGCCGAAGGTTCCCAACCCCTGGTATAAGAGTAACATCTGCTTGCTCTAATAACAAAATAATTGTAATGTTTTATTCATGTTAGTATTGTAGAGTGACATAGATAAGAAAGACTGAGCTGAATTCCATTCATGCTTGCGCATCATTAACAAAATGAGCTAAATTCTACTGGAGGACCAACTTTTGTCCTCAGGTTCTTGCAATCCCACCAAAGACCACGGGGTGCAGAGGTGTGACTGAGGTTTGAATTTGGCCTACAGAATACTTATCACTGTTGATAATGCATAATCAGGAAAGAACACATCCTGGCTTTCAGTCCTAGTATGATTTTGCAGCACTGGCAGTTTTAAAAAAAATCTTTAGACTTATCGATTAAGCAAATTTGATCTGGAAATCATTGATGTATTAAACATGGAACCCCATTTACAAAGTCACTTTTCAAAGTAGTTCTGTACTTGAGTGTGTGTGCTTGTTTTTTCCCTCTAATCTGAGAGCATCTCCTATAATTGATCTGGAAATAAGCATTTGCTATCTGTCGTCTTCTCTTCCTCCTTTATCATTTTCCTAATTTTCTACAGTCTCTCTAGATATTTCTTCCCTCATTCCTAAAATCAAACGGTGTGCGTATCTGATCTTATCTCTTCTCAATTGCTCTTCCCCTCCCCAACTCCCCCTGCATTACTTTGGAAACATCTTCTATTTATTATTGACTGTATTGCTCTCATGCTGCTTTAATTTCTGAAATGCTTCTATTTGTTTTTAATATTCTATGTGAATCCAGTCTTGAAAAAGAACTGCTTTAGATTTCTTGATAATAAGCAATTTGTGACCTATTTCATAGTTTCTCTGCATGTCTAATTTACTTGAGCTCATTGTCTCTAGTCACATTTCTGCCTTTTCTTCATGGTCATGACCTGTGTGAGTCTGGTCAGTTTGGGTGTAGAGCTGGTCTTTTGACTTAAACAGTCTTGATTAAGGGCTTTGCAGGTCTTGTTATTGAAATATTCAATAGTGTACTTGTAGTTTTAATTCTGTTAGATATTGGCAGCTTTTGCTACAATTGACCATTTTTGCCTTGTTTATTGGGAAATGACAAGATAAAGCATTAATCACTAAATCAGGTATTTCATTAATACAACCAATAGGTGGCACTATTCTCTTATGTTCGAACTAAGTAGGACGTTTGAAGGTCATCTTGTCAGTCGACCAAAATAACAAAGATGTCTAGCAGCCATATTTGGTATTACAAGTTTACAGCAACGTCAGATAAACATTGGATTTCTTATCTTGATATATGAAGTAGGCTTTCATTCTCCGTGAATTCTCCATCATTTAAAATGTTTTTCTTATCTAAAGCTATATATTATGGTTTCAACAATATAAAGGTATATACGGCAACACTTTGGCAACACCTTCTCTCAAAAATGAAGAAACTTTAAAATAACCTGTTTCTATATTTTGCTGCCCCATTTTATTTGCAAGATATTTACTTCACTCTGCCTAAAATATTTTTCTAATGTCATTTCTAAGTTTATTGCTAGCAGTAGTAATATTGCTGAAAGCAATATCATTTGATTCAAAAGCAGTCTTTTAATAATGGTTTAACATTGTGCTAGAGCCTTATTGTTTCTGTAGCATACCATGAATACCTTAATTTATAATTAAATAATGGTTTATGTTTAGAGAGTGGAATTTTTGTGCTGTGCAAGCAGCTATTAATGGGAATGTGTTTGCAATATATGCCAATAGGTAGGATGGGTTTAAAGCTGGAGACAGTGGACCTCCCCCCATCTTCAGGTAGTATCAGTAGGATCAGAAATACATACTTTTTTTTGTAAAACTTGCAGCTATATTTGAACTGATATAGGGCAGAGTGGATTGATTTTAAATCACCAATTTTAATCATAATTTAAATCAACAAGAGGAAACCTTGATTTAAATAATTGATTTCAATTGTGTTTTGCCTTTATACTTTCAGTTGTCTTTTCTAAAGAGAGGTTGATTCTCGTTAGTTGCTAACCATTAAAACATGGTGATTCACAGCTAAATGTATCCTTTACACTACATTTTGGTGCTCCTTTTTGCTAACAGGGAGGATATGCTATCTATGCACATTTATTTAAGCAGTTATTTACTTAAATTTATTCAGGCATAACTTTTACATTTTTAATTTTGTTGGAAAATGGCGAAAGAGGCATTTCTTATTTACTAGATGATGGTGAATTGTTTTGCTTGTGATTTTTTGTGTACTTCTGTTTGGGTGAACTTCTGTTTCTGTAGCTCACGAAAGCTTATGCTCAAATAAATTTTAGTCTCTAAGGTGCTACAAGTACTCCTTTTCTTTTTGTGGATACAGACGAACACTGCTGCTACTCTGAAATCTGTTTGGGTGCTAATTCAATTACAGATGCACACAACCAGTATTTTATATTTTTTTTATTAAATAGAACTACCTTAAAAGTGATGGATACATAAGGAGAAAAAAAGTCTATCCAAACATGTTTTGCATTTCAAGCTAATTGATGTATTAAAGGAAGTGTTATTGGTAGTTAATTGACTGAACTGTTTGTTTTTGGTTACTTCAAGATTTTAGAACTAACAGATCTTGCCCTCTCACACGTAGTTTTTATTTCTAGGGTACCTCAACACTAGAAGCTAGGGTTATGATTCACGTAGACATAATCATGCTAGCTCTCATGGAGATACCCTACTTCTTTTAGCATGCTAGTTGTAGTAGCCTGGGCAGTGGCGAGTGATGGCACATGTTAGCTATCCCAAGTACATACCCACAGTATCTAAGTGGGTTTGAAGTTGGAACAACTAGCCTATGCCGTCACTTTCCTTTGAAAGTGCTACTGTGGTGATTACTATTTTTAACATGCTAGTTCGATGAAAGTTCACATATGTATGTCTACTTGAGCTGGGGGTCGCATCTCTAGGTTCAAGTTTGGACGTAGCCATAGATTGGAAGAGGAAAACAAGCTCTTCCTGCTTTTTCAAATCCCAATTGTTTTCTTAACTTGGAATAAACAGAAATTAAGGAAGTATTCTCTCTGTACCTGCAGAAGAGGCTGCTGCTGTCAGAACCTGGTTTGAGACAAGCTTTCAAAATACACAGAGCTGCTCTTGGGTCCTGGGAAAGATTCTGAGAGAGTTACAGCAAAATACAAGGTCAAACAGATCATTGTTGAATATGTAGTTAGCACATATTTTAAGGTACTACTTATGTGAAACTGTCTATTTATTTAGCTGTGACACACTCAATACCTTTTCCAGAGCTCAAGAAAACCTGAAGAAGAGTTCTGTGTAGCTCAAAAGCTTCTCTCTCACCAACAGAGGTTGGCCCAAAAAGATATTACCTCACCTACCTGGTCTCTCTAATATGCTAGGACAGACATGGCTACAACAATACTGGATAAAAGCTGGTTTATCACGGCAACAAACTCTGGTTCTAGGTGCTTAGCAAGTGACTTCTACCAATTTAGTTTGACTTTCTTGCTAACAACCAAGTACAGCTTAATATTATTTTTTGTATTTACTTATATGATTTTAATAGATTTTAAGTAGTTTAAATCTTAAAATAGGTTGTCAATTTCATATTTAATTTTACATATATTTATTTTTTAAAAGTATACCTGTATCTAAATTTTAAAAAAATCAGATTATTTATTTGTCCATTTTCGAATCATCGATTTTTATCCACCCTGATACAGAATGCGAAATGCTTCTTGGCATGTACATTTTCAAAATGCTGCATAAACCTACACTTACTGCTCTTGTAGCTGAAAGATTCCACTGAGGTCCCATAAAGAAAAATATAATAAAATACTCGATACATTCAAATGCTCGTCATTTCAAAAGAAATAGATTTATTTTGGTGTTACTTTAAAGCTTTAATCATGTGGTTCTTGCTCTTTTTTTGTAGGAGTGGTTCGCTGTATATGTGGAGCTTAATCAGCAAATTGCAGCGCTGCTAAATGCTGGGGATGAGGAGGACCTGGTAGAGCTGAAAGCACTACAGCAACAGTTGAGCGATGTCTGTTATCGGCAGGCCAGTCAGCTGGAATTTAGGCAAAATCTGTTACAAGCAGCGCTTGAATTCCATGGTGTTGCCCAAGACGTAAGCTTGGTTTTAAGTGTTTACAGGCTTACTTGCCAATACACTGTTGACATAGTATTATTGAAGTTCAGTATCTTGTACAAGGTGTATTGAAAAAACAAAGTCACTTCTGTGAAAAATGCAAAAGTCTTCATTTATTGGTAGCCTGATTGAAATACTGTCATTAAGGCTGAGGTCTTCTGTTCTGTAAGAGGAATGTGTACTGTAACACTTGACATTCTGGCATGGCTTTACATTTCTGTGATATATAAATTGTAACATAAATCATAAGAGATTCAGCTAACTTCTCTTTACTTATATTTTTTGACTGGTTGGTTCTATTGCAAGGGGTAGACTGTTCTTCAGAGTTTCTCTGTAAGATATTTTTCAAGCTCTTATTTGTCTGAAGTGGATTTTATCACACAACTTGGTGTTTTTTTCTTTAAAGCCCAGTTGCTGGAACCATGTATTAGGTGATAATTTCAGCTTTCATTTAAAAAATAAGTTTCTAGCCTTTATGGATGTGGAGAAAAGCTTGAAAACTTGATGTAAGTGACCCTAAAGGCTCAGAAACCAGAAGGCAAAGGAAAAGAATCCAAAATTTATTTGTTTGTTTTAATCTCATTATTTTTAAACTAATCTCATGATTTTGGGGAGCCTGACTCATGATTCTCGAACACTTGGGCTTGGCAAGACTGAGAGTGCTCATATGTCTTTTAAATATTAATTGCAACTATAATGATTTCATTACAAGGAATGGTTACATATCAGATAAAAGGTTTGTCTTTATCCCTCTCTATTTCAGTTGTCTCAGCAGTTAGATGGCTTATTAGGGATGTTGTGTGTAGATGTAGCACCAGCTGATGGAGCATCAATTCAGCAAACTTTAAAACTGCTTGAAGAGAAGCTGAAAAGTGTTGGTAAGCAGAAAATCGCTGAAATACAGAATTATAAATTATACTGGATCAAGTACTTGAAAGGGACAAATGCGGGGGACAATTTTTTCCGTTTTTATTTAATATATTAAACTAATTTTCCCCTTGCTCAATTCTTCCTTTACACTCTTTCACTTCTTTCTTATATATAGTAAGATCACCTCTCCCCTAGCAGTAAAACCTGCATTCTCTACTGCATGTTTATCCCATATTTGGTTGTGCCATATTCTGTGACTAGTTTATATGAAAAATGATAAAAGTAATATGCACACAAATGAAATATATTGTTACAGTGTTTACATTTAGCAACAAACCTAGAGTTTGATCCTTGGACTGCACCTCTCTTTCCCCAAGCCTGGCCGGAGCATAGGGATATACTGCAAAAATTATATCCTGATCTCCCTGGAGGAAGATGAACCTCCTGTTCCCAAACAGTAAATCTTTTATGAATTATCTAAACTCTGAAGGGAGTTATGTTCTGCCTACCTAGCCCTAGCTAGGATGCTTGCAATGATAAGACTTGTAATTAATTTTTTTTACAAACTCTAAATGCCATATGTTAGCTTTATTATAAGGGAAAGGGCAGTAGGTAGGAAGAGAGATTGTGGAATGAAAAGATGTAATAAAATTGAAATAGCTGAAGTAATTAAATTTTAAAAGTTATTGCACGTGTGCAGTAATTTATTTTGTGTATATCTCAAACCATAAACTATATTAATATGGCATACAATAAATATGCTGGGCTGTACATTTAACAGCAGACTTTAAGGGCAAGCACTGAAGGATTCTTCATACTACGGTATCCAAAAGTTTGTTAACCATGTAAAATGAATTTTAAAATCATAGCCTGCATGTTCTTTGCATGATAGACATTCACTGTCTCTGATAATGATTTAGAAATAAATATGTGTGCTTAAGATTGTATGCACTTATTACTTATATATATGGTGAAGCAATTATAGCTGACTATCAAATCTGACATTTCCTTGAAACACTATTCATTTATTTATTTATTTAATGGTCCAGCAAGTAAAAAAATAACAAATCCATTTCCCCTAGCGTTCTGTAAATATTATAGAATGCTGCATCTAATTGATGCTCTCAGATCAATATGTTTCAATACAACCAAAATGTAAAGTTTGTACATCTAGGAACAAAGAATGCCAGCCATACATACAAATACGCAGGATTCCATCCTGGGAGCAGTGATGCTGAAAAAGTCTTGGGGATCATGGTGGATAATCAGCTGAACATGAGCTCCCATTGTCACACTGTGGCCAAAGGGCTAATGTGATCCTTGGATGTATTAAGAGGGGAATATCGAGTAGGCGTACGAAGGTTATATTACCTCTGTAATTGGCACTGGTGCTACTACTCCTGGAATACTGTGTCCAGTACCGGTGTCCACACTTCAAGAAGGATGTTGAAAAATTGGAGAGGGTTCAAAGAATGAGGAAAACTAAACGGATTTAACAAACAAAATATTTTCATTTATTTTGGTTTTAGACTTAGGCCTGCAAGGTTTGCGTGAAAAAGGCCAAGGTCTTCTTGATCAGATATCTAACCAGGCATCCTGGGCCTATGGAAAAGATGTAACCATAGAAAACAAAGAAAATGTGGACCACATCCAGGGAGTGATGGAAGATATGCAGCTTAGAAAGCAACGGTAATTAATAGCACTTCTAGTGGTTATGATGATTTTTACATATTAAGAACTCACTTTAAAAAAAAAAAACAAAAAACACACCTGATGCTATTTTGCACCAGACCCTCATTTATATGGGTCTCAGCCATGTGATGATGGTGAAATCCTAATTTATGCAGCTGCAGTCTGGGTGACTTAAATCTCTCTTGTTTAAATAGAATGTGAGATGTTTTATTTTCTTCTTCCCTTAGAACTGTTGTCGTGGCACACTCCTAAACCCAAAGATGGCTACATTTCAGGGCTGGATGGTGGGTGTAGGTGGGAGGTGAAAGGGTGGTCCATGAAGCCATGTGCTCCCTTCTGTTCTTATACTTAGATGTGAGAAACGTAGATTACTCAAAAATAAAGATATGGGGACAGTGTATGATCTCCTCTTGTAGGCACTACCAGACACTCTGAGGGAATAACATATTCTCCACTTAGAACATATGCAGTTGCGGGGGAGGGGGCTGGGGAGCCCCAATGGGGTTGAAGCTAGGGAGCAGCAGACCTGTGGTGTGCCCTTACAAAAGCACACCATAACTCATGCAGTCATTTAATCGTTACTTCTTCCTCCCAGATTTAAATTTCTGAGGGGAGGCCTCAATTCACTAGAGTATCCCTGTTTGGGAGTTCACTTAACGAGTTGTTTAATTTTAGGCATATGCCTAAATCCCACTGATTTAAATTTAAAAGTAAGCAAGTGCTTAAAAGCTGTCCTGCATAAGATGTGTTTAAGTATCTTCCTGAATTGGGGCCTTATTGTGTTAAAGACCATTATTTTCCCAATATTTCTTTTCCACCAATACAGTTGTTGTAGTTGCCACAGGGGTGTTGCATGATCCTCAGTTGGAGAGGAGGTGGTCTGTGTGATCGCAGGTGTGTGAGATGAAGAGGTGTTGGTCCATGAGAGAACCTCTCTGTTAAGGTGTGAGCCCCATTGATAAAATAGTTTGAAGACCACCTGTCCTAAACCTTTCTCCAGGAAGGATCCTTCCACCTGATAAATCCATTCAGCTTTGTAGCTCTGTTGAAGGGACAGCAGCTGTTCTCAAGTGCAAAACTTTTTCGTTACCTTTTATAGAAATGTGTTTTGAAAGTGACTTAAATGTAGCCCCTTAACATTTTCTCATCTTATCAAGAAGCCCTAGGTGTCTTTATAGCTGCTCTAGCCAAAGCAATCTTTGAAGATTTTTGTTTGTTTTGAATTCATGTTGACAAATGACATCCTTTGTATACTAATATGGCACGTGTTTTTGTTAAAATAATTGAAACTTGGACCATCAGAACTAAATAAAATCCACACTTTTCCTTACCATTACTATTGTGGTTTCTACCAGACACAGAAAAGAAGTTTGGACAGTTAGAATTCTACCTAATTTGCACAAGTTATACTAGATAAAAGGAAATGTCCAAGGACTGATCTTGGAAAATATTCATCTCACCACAAAAGCGCATTTTTCTAGCTCAAGTACATCAGCTTCCATAACAAGAAAGCCTCATCTGTAATATTACTGACATTTTTTTTCCAGAGAAAGAACAATATAGTTAGGAGCTGAATGTGAATTTTCTCCCCTCTGATAGATATGCACAAAGGAATTTGTATGACTATAAGTCCTTTAGTTAGCCCGAATACAAATCACGTTCAAAGTAAAATCAGACAAGGCATTAGTTTTTAATTTATTTTCCCACTTGAATTGCAAGATTTGCTTGCAGTAGTTAATTGTAAATAGTTTTAAGATTCCTGGTAGGTCCCCAAACCATGCGTGACTAACACAATAAGAATTGTAAAATATTGGCTACTAAACCTATCCAATGTTTCATACAGTTTTTGAATGTTTGTTTCTAGGGATATTTTGGCTAGATCACTAAAATTCTTGGAATCTAAAAGTCATGTTTTCTCTCACAGTAGCTGCTGCTCAGTGTAAGTGTTACGGCACTGCAAGGCACACTTAACAAAGCTCAAAATTTTAATACATTGCAGGGCTCATCCAAATTACAAAGCCTGTTTGAAAAATCTGCTTGTGCATGTGCATATCCTGTCACTTACAAAGCTAACAGTTGCTATCATGATTATCTGAATTTGTTACTGAGCTGTGTAGCATTCTGATTCTCCCTCTATATTCAAGTAAATATCTTTTAAATTCAGAGAGCGAAAAGTCATTATTTAGATTAATGTATTATAATATTGAGCTCTGAAGGTTGACAGGAAAGTGCTTCCAATATTTTCATATCATGACTGTAGAAAATGAATTAATTATGTCATGAGTTTAGTTTTAGCTATCCTCTTTCTGCATTCATTTTATATAAATTACATTTTGAATGGATTCCGACGAGTTATAGCAAAGAAAATCATCCAAACTAATCTTAAGTCTTTATGGTTCTTGTTTATGATGATTAATTTATCTTGTAACCTTTTAAATAATAGTTGGCTAAAAATGGTGGAGTGGGGAAATGCAGATGAATTTTAGACATTTTCCAGTTGTCTTGAAGGCAATGGCTGTTGACACATCAGTGTTTTTTAGTGTTCAGCTGCCATTTACTGCACGTTTCTTTGGAATGCATTGCAAAATCCAGTAATGTGTGAGCCAGGCTAGTGGCACAATGATGCGTAATTACCTCTTTCATGAAAACTGACTTCTTGATGCATAGGTTTAAAAATGCATAAATTGAGATACCATAGCTCTTATTCCCAGGGTATATTTAGTGTGCTGAATGGTTACTCTTTCTGTGATGTTATTTCAGTTATCCCTAAATGTTTGGGTTTCCTCAGGTGTGAGGACATGGTAGATGTGCGACGGCTAAAGATGCTTCAAATGGTACAGTTATTTAAATGTGAAGAAGATGCTGCTCAGGTAAGGACTGGCTATAGAACTTCACAGTTCTGCTATTTTCAGAGATGTTTGTTGGTTGAACTGTGTGAAATAGTCCTTAAATGTGTATGGAATAAACATGATTGTGCTTTTGTGATGGCATGACGCTTCCAGATATTGAGGGCTCGTATAATGTGGCTACCATATAGCTCTTCACCCAGGCTGTGTCTTGGTACTAAATGCAAACTTTTCTCTATGATGAATCTAATTTAATTGGCAGTCTTGATTATGACATTTCTGACTGTTGTATGATTTATGTAATCATACGTCAGGTTTTATCTTAATCTAAATTAAAATGCCTGAATTACAACTCTCTTTTTCTAGAGCCATACAGGAACCATCAAACCACTTCTGCAAATATTATGCTGACAAATGCTTTTTTCAATTTTAAAGTATATTTTTCTCTTTTAATTCTTTTAAATTTAAGTCTTTTGTTTTTAATTACTTCAGAGTATTCACAAAGAGTAAAAGGTTATGGCAATGAATAAAAATAACAGTTTGGAAATTGGGGTTATATACAGAATAGTGATTTAGTTGAGACCTTTTCTGATTTTTTAAATGCAGAGCGATTTAAATTTGGCTCGGTGTACTTGATGATTTTCTTTTTAATCCGCTTTAAAGCCAGTTTCTATTCGTTTAATTTACTTCTCTTTTTAAGGCAGTAGAATGGTTAAGTGAACTGTTGGATGCTCTGCTTAAGACCCACATCAGATTGGGAGATGATGCTCAAGAAACCAGAGTTTTGTTGGAAAAGCATCGAAAGTTTTTTGATGTTGCACAGGTGAGTGGTGGATTATCTTCATTCTAGAAACTCACTTTTTGCATAGCTACAGGCAGCTTTTAGCTGTACTTGGTGTAAATTTGGGGGACAATAGTAGAGTTTCCACTGTTAACTGTTTTTGTAGTTTGCATCCATGCTTGCATAGGGAAATACTGATAGCCGAAATCAGTGATTAGATTTAGAAAGATTTTAAAGCTGCAGTACCCATATTGATGCTGACAGTCTTATGACCTTTGTCGGTTCTGATAGGCACAGGAAATGCAGAGCATAAAAGAAGTTTGATGTTGATAAAAATGGGAGATGTCTGAGACAGCTTTCCTAATGAATTCTGAAGTGATTGCAACGAATGTAGCAAAAATATGGGCCAGCCATCTGGCATTTTGGTAAAGCTGTGCATTACAGTGCAAGAGATGTGGGTTTCATGTTTGTTTCCAGGATATAGGTAAATGGAGATTGAGGCACTACATTGTATCTCAAAAGCAACTCTCACATAGATGCAGAGACTCCTGATGGGCATTAAAAAACAACAACCAAAAAACCCAGAAATATAGCTATCTGCTTGGTGAACTAATTATTCACACAATTTGTAGATGATGTATTTCACTGGACTAGATCAGTTCAAGCGTGCTTTGTGGAATTACATCTAAGAGAATTCATCTCTTGCAGGTTTGTCTGTATTGTTACATATTGTCTGTTCTGAAGCTAAAATTAGAATTTTACATGTACTCTGTTTTTTCTTTGCAGAGTACTTATGATTATGGGAGACAGTTACTACAGGCTACAGTTGTACTGTGCCAGTCTCTGCGATGCACTTCTAGGTCCTCAGGAGACACACTTCCGAGACTAAACAGAGTATGGAAACAGTTTACAATAACTTCTGAAGAGAGAGTACACAGGTTGGAAATGGCTATTGCATTTCATTCAAATGCTGAAAAGGTGAGTTGTTTTAGGAAGAAAAACTAGTTCTCTTTTAGTTGAAGTAAAATGAAAAATAAACATGTAAATTAAATCCTGCTGTGTATTTATTGGACTACAATCAAATTCTGCTTATTTTGCTTTCTCCATTTTTAGAACAAAATTAAATAGCATTTTCTACATTGAAAATATATTTTATAGTTCAGCTGTTTGAAATGTAAAATAAATCCCATAAAACTGTCAAAAATGTAAATCATTGTCTCTTCCATTTGATTATCCTAGTCACTTAGCTTTAAATTACTTACGATTGGAACATATTGACACAAGAGGGCTGTATAATCAACAATAATACCTAAGAGAGAAAAGACAGTCTTTGTGGTTAAGGTACTGGACTAGGAGCCAGAACAACTTGGCTCACTTCCTGGCTCTGATGCTGACTTTTTGGACAGGCGGGGGATAGAGGGGGGTTATTGTTAGGAGTACTCTGTGTTGGTATTGTCTTTATCATAAAAGTAAGTGTCCCACGACTGTCCCCTATGGGGTATTAGTTGTGGTCACAGAGAAGAGCGTGTGTAGCCTACCATAAAGTTGTGAGGAATAACTGCCCTTGCATTAGCTACTGCAGGACTAGCTGGGGGCACTCAAATGCATGAATTCCAGAAAATGTTAGTTTGTGATTAAGGAAAAGGCAAATTAATTCTTCAGAACGTACAGGTTATGATGATTTGGGGAATATGGGTTGTTGGTGCTGTATCATACAGCAAATGCATGAATGTACATTATCGCTTTTATACCACTGTTTTTAGAAAAAAAATTGATGGCGAGGATCTTAAAATCTATTTATCTCCAGTGCACACATCATCATGGTATATGGTAGTCAATATAGGACACAGTGAATGCATAAATTCAAATTGATATTGAAGCACAGTCTTGTTGTAGAGTTAATCCATATATTCCTGACTTCCAATAATTTTTTTCTTAGTTAGAAATCATTTTGGATTTAAGGGTATTGGGAAGCTCAGGAGATTGGTAATGGGCTACCAAGTCTTGTGGCTGTGCTATCAATTCAGATCAAATCTAGGTCAGTAGTGTCTGAAAGCTATTCAAATCTGATGATAAATGGTAAGAGTTGGTAAATGATGTGACTGTCTCAGTCCAGCTCTTAATGGAGAGTTGTCCATATCACAAAAACTCTTTCATAATTGGAAATAATTCACTGACACATTTGTAGGCAGTCTAAGTAGAAAGAAGTGAATGGATATGCAGAGAATTAGCTTCTCACCCATAAAGGTAGGTAGTCTTCCTACAACTATGTTGTGGTATATTGGTGGGACAGTGTGAAGAACCCTGCACTGCTACTGCCCATATGCTTCACCAATTCAATTGATAAATCAGGACTTCAACATTGCCAGTCTGGTGGCAGACCTTTTACAAGCACCCCTTTTGCTCAAACTTTACCAAAAGAGGAAAAGGATGACTTTGGATTTAGGTGAAAATATAGTTAAGTCCTGACATTAGGTCCAGATCCAGTGTAGCAATTTGTGTGGTCCTGTGTTTTAACCCTTTCACACCTGTTGAACTTTGCACTAGTGTGTAGAGTCTGAAAAACTGGTTGGAGTTCTCAGGAATAATTTGAGTGGCTCCTTTATTATTCATGTGCTTGTATTTCAAATTGCTGCTTGGCTTGTTGGCTGATATGAGTTATTTTTGTATGCATTTGAATTAGTTGTTGGAATACCTGGTGGTGAGTTGTGGTTAAATTTTATTTATTTATTCATTTATGTATTTGGAACTTCTTAACAGTAATGTAAAATGTATTGGCACACAGTGCAGCAGCACAGACTATCTTGTCAAGGTGGGTTAGTCATTTGTGTTAGATTTTTCTGAGTGTACTTGGATTGTTACAAATTGGTCTTACATAAATGTGTACATGAAGATGCACTAACTGTGCTGGTGAATGTCTCTGCAGAAGCTTGATACTGTCCACTCTCTCTTTTGTTTTACATTTTCGTGGTGTTTGTTACAGATTTTGCAAGAATTTCCAGAGCAGCCTGAAGCCATTCATGAAATGGAGCAATTGGATGAAATTGAAGCAGTTGGGAAATCACTGTTGGACAGATTAACAGTGCCTGTAGTGTATCCTGATGGGTATGGAACATGTTATTGTAATACTTTCTCAATATGCTTTTGTGACAGTTTGGCAGTGGTATGATTAGAACATTTAGTGTTTAAATTGTTCATATTTATAAATTATCTAAAAAGCAGAGTGTACAGTGAGGTGGCAAAATTTGCAGAGGATACAAAATTACGCAAAACAGTTGTGTCCAAAGCTGATTACAAAGTGTTACAAAGGGATCTCAATGAACTGGGTGACTGGACAACAAAATGGCAGATGAAATTCAGTGCAAAGTAATGTAAGGTAATTGCAACTATAGATAAAAAATTATGGGGTTTCAATTAGCTATTATTACTCAAGAAAGGCATCTTGGAGTCATCACGAATAGATATCTATAAACATCTGTTCAATGTGGAGCAGTAGCTAACGGAATGTAAGGAACCATTATGACATGGATAGATAAGACAGAAAATACCATAATGCCACTGTATAAATCCATAAGACGCCCATGCCTTGAACACTGTGCAGTTCTGGTTGCTCCATCTCAAAAAAGATGTATAAGGATTGGAAAAAGTACAGCAAAGAGCAACAAAAATGACTGGGGTGTGAAACAGCTTCCATATGAAGAGAGATTAAAAAGTCTGGGACCGTTCATCTCAGAAAAGGGATTAAGGGGTATATGGTAGAGGTCTATAAAATCATGAATATTATGGAAAAAGTGAATAGGGAAGTGTTGTTTACCCATCTATGGAACACAAAAACTATGGGTCTCCCGATGAAATTAATAGGCAGGAGGTTTAAAGCAAACAAAAGGAAGTACTCCTTCACACAATGCACTGTCAACCTGTGAAATTCATTGCCATGGGATGTTGCTCACCGCCAAAAGTATAACTGGGTTCAAAAAAGAATTAGATATGTTCTTGGAGGATAGGTCCATCAATGGATATTAGCCAAGATGGTCAGGGACACCCTTCCATGTTCTGGGTGTCCCTAAACTTCCAACTGCCAAAAGCTGGGACTGGATGACAGCTGGTGGATCACTCACTGGTTTGTTCATTCCCTTTGAAGTATCTGGCACCAGCCACTGTCAGAAGACAGGATACTGGCTAAATGGACCATTGGTATGACCCAGTATGGCTGTTCTTACGTGCTTAAATACCAATGTAATGAACTGCTATCAGGATTTTTTTCTCATTAGTAGAAAAGGGGGCAGTTCCACTCCATAGCTAGCCGATGGGGGGGGAAAAAAGCAATAGAAATAATCTGCCCATTGCTTTCAACTGTATTATTTATTTTCATGCACTCCATCAACACAAGGCACTCATACTTTGAACTACAGGCTTTGGAGCTTGAGTGAGATGTTCTCCCTCTGAGTAGTGCTGCTGAGTAAGCAGGTAGCCACATTCTGCACCAGCCAAAGTTTTCAAATTGTCTTCAGGTGCAGCTCCAGTTAGACACTGCTGCAATAGAAATACAGAAAAGCATGCATGGTTCTTGCTTATGTAAGGCCTGGCTCTTCCCAGTGAGCTCACTGTTTATCTTTCGTGAACGCTTAAAATTCACCAATTATTTTTTAAACATGTCTTAATTTCTTTGTGAAATTTCCATTTCACATACTGAAAACTGGTGAAATGAGTTATCTGAAACAAGACCCAGTTGCTGGTCAGTCAGGGTTTTCCTCCAGGGATGATTGTAACCAGAAATCAAAACAATGGGCCAATGGGAGCTTTGGGGGAGGTACCCGCAGGGGAGGGCAGCACACTGAGCTCTCTGCCTCCCCCTCCCCGAGGGGCCACAGGGACGTGGTGCCGGCTGCTTGTGGGAGCAGTGCAGGGCCAGGGCAGGCAGGGAGCCTGTCTTAGCCCCACTGCGTGCCGCTGCCATCCTGGAGCCACTCCAGGTAAGTGGTGCCTGGCCGGAGTCCACACCCTGAATCCCTCCTGCACCCCAAACCTCAACCCCCTCTCCTGAGCCCCTTCCTGCACCCCAACCCCCTGTCCTGAGCCCCTTCCTGCACACTGCACGCCCTCCCACACTCCGCACCTCCCGCACCCCAACCCCCTGCCCCAGCCCTACATTCATGGCCCCTGCATTCAATTTCCCCACCCAGATGTGGCCCTCAGGCCAAAAAGTTTGGACACCCCTGCATTATAGAGTAGACAAGTATGCTTTTTGAAGAACTGCTCTGATTTCTGTTCCTGAGAAGCAATCTTACCTTTGGTTCGAGCAATTGCTGTTTAGTTTGTATCTTGTTAATGAGCCTTTGTCCATTTCTGGGAATGGAATATCTTTCTTACATGGAAATGGTGTTTTTCTGATAAACTGGGTCCATCTGTAATGCCTCACATGTAGTTGCTATTTTGAGGGGTTATAGTGGTGCTAGTATTTTTTTAATAGTCCCTTCTCTGAAATGTCACCTCTTTTTAAGGACAGTCAGGTTTTTTATTGTGCTTTGCACTTTTCTGGATAAATTACTGTAAGGGACATTTGTCAACTTACAAATCGTACTTCTGTCTGAACAGTTTTTATCTTCTCTTCTTACTTGCAACACAACTGATTGCTGTAGTTAAAAGAGATGAGAGGAAAAAATATTTTTCTCAATTTTTTTCAGTTTACTTTGTGCATTTGACATTTTTGGTATAGCAGCTTCTCTGTTCCTGGTATAGTTGTCAGTAAAGTATTTCTTCTATAGGTCTTTTCCATGGCAAGAATGGAGAAAAAGCTTTTTTTTTTTTTTTTTTTTTTTTTTTTTTTGAGAGCAAGGGACTATGGTTGAAAAACCACAAGAATTGACAGATGGACTCAGGGGCAAGTGTACTACCTGAAACCGCTTTTAACTCATTTTTTAAAGGTGATTAGATTTGAAGTTGACAGTGTCTCTATATGATTGAGTGTGCCATCCCTTTCTTTAACCAGTTTCACTCTAACTTCCTCTACCTCCTAGCCTGTAAGTACCGTCTGTTTGTTCCTGCAAGTTCAGCTTTCATGGCTAGGGAAGGTAACAGCAGTCTCGGGACAGCCAGTTGTGGTGCTGCAATGTCATTGATCACTTGTGTCTGTTGCTATATGATGAAATCAAAATCCCATTACTAAGACAATGACTTTGTCAATCCGAGAAGTAGCATTTACATAAGAAAAACTTCATATTCTTTTAGCATAAACTAAATTAATTAAATGGACAGTTTTCTTTTCTTGTAGCTATAAGGAGATATGTAATGTATTTGTGTAAGTTGTTGATATATTATGAATTTGCATAGCACATTTTGGGTGTTACTGCAATACAAATAACCTTTTTACTGTGTTGTAACATTTATTAAACAAACATTTGCCTTGCTGACTATTTGGACATTAAGGTAAAAACGCCAATAACAATTACACATTTTTAAAAAATGGATTTGGTCCTCAGAAGTGCCAGATTGGCCATCCTGCAGCTACAGAACAGAGCAAATGTAGCACAGGGAGTGGGAAAGCAAACTTACGTTGACCTGCTAACATGCTTCATAGCTGTTCTGAAGGGACTGCTTTGGTGAATGAGTGGATGGCTCGGTCTCCCTATTCATTCTGTCCTGGGTTTATTTTCTGATCAGTCATAGCAAAATAACAATTTAGGGTCTGCTCTAAGGCCCACTGAAGTTGGTGTTTAAAATTACAAGCAGAAAAGAACCTCTATTTCTATGCTGTTTGAAGTTTTCAGGATTTTATTTGTATTCACATGAGAATTCTAGTACAGTTTTACCTTTCTGTGTTTGTGTTTGTTTTTTAGTACTGAGCAGTACTTTGGGAGCCCAAGTGACATGGCTTCCACAGCAGAACACATTAGAGAGAAGATGAAGCTACTTAGCCTGAAAAAGCAGCAGCTGAGACAACCAGAAGCGACTACCCCAGAGAGCTAATAGACTGGACCCTTATCTACCAGCTCAGAATAAGATTTCAGTTTGTAACCCAGCATGTCGTCTGAATATTACAGCATTTAACATAATGCATTTCATAGCCATTATAAAAGCCTCATCTTTTTCAAAGTAAACATTGCTCCTCAACATCATAACACTGTACATCTGCCAAGCCATAATTATTTAACATGCTATGAAACCATAGATTTCAAGTATCTTATCAAAAGGAACTGTAAACCTTGCACTGAAAAATTGCTGTAAAGCTTTACCCTGACCTGTCAGTTGCTTCTTAGTTAAACAGCTGACATAAGCTTTGAATGGTGCTAATCAGAATGTAGAAATTCCACCTATGAAACAGTAGCTCTCTTTACCACCACCACCCCCCAGTGATGTAGTATTTTTAGGCTGTAGGTAAGCTACCTGTTTGCGTAGACAGTGGTGACCCTATCATTTTAATTTGTAATACTTTAAAAATGACCATTTCTGTTGTGCCAATATGCAACCTGCCCATCAAATCTTTGATATATCAGATTCATTAAACAGATGTTTTCCTATTTGTATTGATATGTATTAAAAGCTGATTGTGCTTAATAAAAACCATCTTTTAAAAATCTGATACAAATTGGTGGTTCTGATTTATCTTCCCAAATGCGAATACTATGTTCGTTACATACTCAAAGTTGGTAAAACCACATTTTTACGAAGTCCGTATCATTCTTCTTAAGGGTCACATTATGGTACCCTTCATAGCTGAGTAGTGCCTTTCTTTAGGAGTCGTTCCACTGATGTCAGTGGAACTACGCCTGGCTCAAGCTAGGAGGGTATTAAAATCTGGCCCTCAATGACTGGGTTTTTTTATTTGTTTTTAAACCAGGAAAAGTCAGCAGTGCACAATAGCAAACTGTTACGTGCACAAGACAGAGGACAAAACATTAACAAGGATGGTCCTATAAACTCTGTTGTTGTTCATGGTTGGTAGGTGTTTTCTGTGTTTCATTTATGATCTTTTGACACCTATAATGGGAGAGGATGGTCTATGCCCTTTGGATTGAAGATGTTGAACGGTGTGGACTCTAGACACCTTCACTATTGCTTCTCGGTGGTTGAAGACTTTCATTTCATTAGAAGTGGTCAATATGAAATTCCCAAACAGTTTAAAACCATTAAAAACAAGATTTATTAAGAATAGGAAATCAGATTAAAAGAAAATTAAACTCTATGCATAATTTGGCTAGCCTTTCACCCTGCAAAAACTAATCCAGATACATACCATTCATGTCCATACAGGAAAGTGAAGTCTCACATTTCCAGAGTATGCATCCTTTCTCCCATCTGATCCTTTTTGAAACCAGCATGTCAAAAAGTCAGCTTGCTGCTTTAGGTTTCCTGTGTCATCTTTCCCACTTACTTGACTCATAGTACTGCTGTACTTTTTTGGATTTCTTTGATGTACTTGATTTCAAAGTGTGTGTCTGCAGAAAGAAGAGCATTAGGCTGTCTCTTTTGGCTTTTTCTCCAAATAAATTTATCATTGTAATGGTTGGATTGGCTACACCATCAGTTGGCTACACAGTTGGCTACACCTGGGAGGGAGGGGGTTCCATAAATCTTTCATAATTTAAAAAGTTCCTTGAAAGTTAGGTATATATATATTAAGTTCATCATCACTTAAACCCTACTCAGTGAGCTCTCTGCCTTCCTTCTAGACTAAGGCCCATGCTTTCTCATGTTAATAATGGTCCTGGCTAGAAGCTTCAAGCTAAATCTATCTTGTCTGCCTTTGAGGAGATGGTTCACTTTTTCCATGTAATTCTCTAAACTTCATTTAGCTCCATATCAAATGTGAGTTAATGATAAAGAGCAGCTTGTCAAGAAGGAAACCAATTTAAATTTCAAATTTTGAGGGGTTTCTAAATAGTAAATATATATTTCTTTAAAAAGCTTTTAAAAACCCCACTTTATATTCTTTAAAAGAAACTGATCCTCAATGTAACTTGTTTACTAATTATTTGTCACTTTCAACTTTGGCAAATAACTTCTTCATGGAGTGAAGGTAATTATCTAAAAATTGGGGCTTTTTTAAATTACTGTATTCAAAGTGAACTGTTTACATCTAGTTCAAATTGTGAATAAATAAATAGTGATTTCTCATTACAGCAAATGGCAAATCATGTCTCAAAGTACTTTGGCAAGAAATAAGAATCTTTTACAGTGTATGAATATATAATATACTACTGCATCTAACTTATTTTTACAGTATATTTATATAATGTTATTTTAAAATAAGGTTTACAGTACTTTACAGTATAAATGCTCATTTTAAAGGTTTCTTTAATATTACAATAACCAATTTTAAGTAAGGTTGAATTGTTTGATTCTAAGCAATGAGAATGTGGTTGTTATGTTCTGGTTAATTTTTGGGATGAGAGAACTTTACTTGGGAAGAGCAAACAGAATGAACGGTATTTAACACAAGACACAAACATGAAATTAAATCAAGCCATTAATAAGCACAAAGTCTCCACTTTCACAAAAGTTGTTTATAAAATCTTATTTGTTGAAGACCATAAATAAGGGGCTGCAGCATAAAATCCTGGGAGAATGCTAGTGTTCAAAACAGTAGATTTGCTTGTTATAAACTAAGGCTATTTGCATATTTGTGTTCTACTTGGTGGCTCAATTACGTACTCTAATACAGGGCAGTTTGTAACCATGTGGTGCGTCCAGCTGACTGCAATGCTGTTCATATGAGATACATACATAATAACTAAGACGTGTTCCCTGCCCCATAGCCTCTGCACATGTAGCTTTTGGCTACTGCTATGAAGACTGTCATGGCTACAGGAATGAAGATTAAGTTGTGCCCAGCTGCAACAGGACACAAGCCAAGGATTGCCAAAGCACATTGGCGCTCTGACCACACCCCCTTTCCTTTGGTCCAGTCCCTGACATGGCCTCTGTGCTATGCTAGCTCTGTGTCACAGAGGGAAATCCCTCTTTAGTTCTATAGCATAGAACATCTAGAATGGGGAAAGGTGGGAATCTGCCCCTGTATCTTTTGTAAGAAGAAATGGCTATAGTTTCTCAGTTCCAATTGCATAAGTGCCAGTTGTCTCTACAAATCCTTCCTTCCTATCAATGCTCTTGAGCTCAACTGTTACATCTAAAGGTTTAATTTAATATAATTTTTTTAAAGCTTTTATTGAATTTAGCTAATTGGGAACATTTTCATGATGGCTTGGTATTAATTATATCTATTTCTGGTGATATTGTGCTACTGGACTCTACAAATGTATAGCCCTTAGCACTACCCAAGAGGATGGGACCTTATACATGGGAATCTTGAAGGATACAACTGTGTTTAAACAATCTGTGTTGTAACTTGTCTGTTACTGGAAGCTTTTCGGCCACAATAAGAAAGGGTTAACAAAGTAGTTAGATCTCCTTACTCTCATTCAAAGAACAAGCCAGAGGGGAGCAGACAAGGTCTCAATCCATGCACACAACAACTGCAACAGCAAACAGATGTGAACTCCAGGGCTACCAAGAGTGAGTGACCTCTTTTTTTAGATGATCAAGTCTCCCAGAGTTAAAATAAATCCCTCCAGTCATTTAACTGGTTTATGATGTCTCTGGGAAAACACTTGTTGTCCCTTGTAAAAGAGGCAAATCCTGGAACAGAAAATACACAAATAGAAAGGCGAAGAGTTAAGATGTCACAGCCGTTCCACTTCTTCACAAGTACTGTGAATCCTATCAGATCGATTTTCCTCATTGTTACGTTGCTAGCATAGGTTCTTAAAACATCACTCTCCGGTGGGTAACATTCTGGTGTGACTTCACCCTGGAACCTAAATCTGGTGTTTAAAAATTTAACTGATCCATCATTTGAACCATTATGCTATATGTCTCTCTAACTTCCTATATCTTTGCTATTGATACTTAATTAGCCCCATCTCCATAGTACCAGATGCCTTTCTGTCAATCTGTTCCATCTTGTATTTAGCTGTGACTCTCTAGTTACCTTTTCCAGACCTGAAGAAGAGCTCTGAAACTTGAAAGCTTGTCTCTTCCACCCATGGAATTTGACCCAATAAAAGGTATTGCCTCATTTATCTTGTCTATCTTTTCTCTGTTAATGTTACTTTTCATTTCACAGGGTAAGGAAGGGGGGAGACAGCACTGAAATACTCCAAAGTTCCATTGCATATAGAAAAGCAAAGGGCATTTTAATAAGTCTTAAGTTTGGATGCTGGGAATGAGGTTCTTTGGGTGTGTGTGGGGGGTTGGGGGGAAGTAGGGCACTACATAAGAAAAAAAAAAGTACTCAGGTAATTTACTGCAACTCTGAACTGAGGCACTGTAAGGCATTATTCCTCACTGCATGTGTAATAAAGCATTTCTGGTAATATACGGTACCGTTTTGTTTCCAGTGCAAAGGCATCAACAAAATGTTGGATGTACAAGGTATATGATGGGCCTGATGCTTTGATGACCCAACTGTCACCATGTCCCTCGCTCTTAAAATTTTTCATCTGCTCCTATGGAATCACCTGTGTATCATATTGAAAATATATTAAAGTATATTGTGCAGGTATCTTCAAAATCGTGCAGACTTGTGGAACCATTTTTTTTTAATTGCTAAATAGGTTTCCTATATTTCTATCTTTCTATATAAAGAAAAAAACTTTGATATACTTCAACAGTTTTGTAGGCAATTTATGTCATATAGTCTACTATTAATATTAGATCATACCTGTGGGAACACCTAACACTATTGGTGCGGTACAGATATGAGTGACTCTGAATACCACAGCTCCTTCTGACTTCTTATAATCAGACATCTGTGCTTAAGAACTCTGAGCAGACTCAAGGTAAATGTTCTTAGTTTCCAACAGTCAGTGTATGATGTTCTTCCTTTTTGAGGTTGAGCTGGGAAGAGATTTCCATGAAGTTTCAGTTACAAAACATAAACAGTAGGGATATTGAGTGCCTTTGACAACTGCTTTACACAGTTCGCAAAAACTTTGTTTTTTCTTATGGCAGTACAGTCTTTCTTTCTTTTTTTTAACGACATCCAAGAACACAGGCATACACTGACTTGAGACTTGTATCTGAGTCTTCCATGCTATAATCAGACGTGACTGCCACATAGGTACACTGAGTAAATGAGAATGTAACTTGAAGAGCTCCGACAATGGCTCTTAGATTAGAACACACATCCTCATAAGCAGCTGTCATGTATTTAGTACAGAGTCGGCTATAATGTCTCATTACAGTAAGATGCTGAGGAGCACATGAGCTTCAACTGCATGTAAGTCAATAGGAGTTTGGCATGTTTTAGGACTAAAATACTTTACTCAGTCATTTTCTTCCATATTGATCTAAACCATTACTCAGGTAACCTGAATCCCAAGGATCTCTTAAACATTTATTAATAATTCCTGAATATAGAATACTTTAGTGAGGTGGAGGCCAGAGAAAGATGTCTCAGCTGTTTTATTCAAAAAGAGATTAACACTGGGGATGAAAATCTGAGAAAATAATCTAGGCCGGAAGTTTTGTAGTGCCCTTTTAGTAGTAGGAACAGCCTCCCATAGGTGGAAGGCCCATTGTTTTGAG